TCTAGTGATCTTCCTGCCATGCAACATGGTCTCCTGGCTCCTGCCATACATGTTATAGTTTGAGCAACATTTCCTGGCACTGTGTATTTCTTTTTATGAGGGCTCCGGATACAACTAGATATTGATGAGCCATGAATTGATAAGTAATTCCACCTCGTTCTAAACAAATTAGTCTGAGCAGCAGCTGGAAGAGCCCAGGGCCCTGATAGCATCTGTCTGATACCACCAGGAGTCTCATCCCTGGGTTGTTCATAGAGGAGGAGGGTTCTCCTCTCTACCTGGGGCTGCAGAGAAAGACATCTCAGGCCCTTGTTCAGGCGCCATGTTTATTTAGGTTGTTCCATGTGCAGGTCTGTTTCGTCATTGAAAGATGAGGCCAGTAATACTTTGCAGAATTGACATGGGGACGAAATAAGTGCAGTGCATGTACAGTGCCTGGCACTGCAGTTCAACAAGTATTTACTGGCCATTTTCCTGAGCCAGAACTGGGACCAGAATTGCTGAGAGGCTGGAGCCCAGAACTCTGCTCCTAGCATTTCCCCAGGCCAGCTTGGGATCTTGGGCAATCACTTCCCTTGTCTGGGTCTCAGCTTCATCCCTGACCATGGTCTATCAGAAAAGAAACTGTGACTGCCACCAGCTGGAAGAACCAGGCAGGGAAGGAGAGATGGAACAAACGTGAGTAGTGTTAGCTACCAGTGCTGTCCTCAGGTCTCTAGCAGCAGACAGACCTGGGTTCAAATCCTGCTCTACCGCTTCACAGACTTGGACAAGTGACTTATCATCTTGGCCTCAGGCTTCTCATCTGGAAAATGGAGTAATGATTCCTGCTTCACAGGGTTATTGCTTTAGTGTGTGAAGGGTCTAGCAGAGGGCCTAGCACAAAATTAGTGCTGAAAAATAATAATTAGTAATAATAGCAGCTAATATTTATACTTACTTAAGAGCTTGCTTTGTTCCAGGCACTGCGATCAGCCCTTCACATCTGTTATCAGATTGATTCCCCTAGACAGGGAAACGTGCTGTTATTATCCTCAATTTATAGATAAGTAGTGAGGGGAAAAACAACCGCCCCAATCTCTGCCTTAGTGAATCTCACTAGTTTGTAAACAAGAAGAGAGGTAGGTCAGTAAATAATGAAAACACAAAGTGATAGTGCCATGATGATAGCGATGATGTCGCAGAGGTGGCAGAAAAGGCAGGTAGTTTTGTTTGGGTGGAGAGAAGGGTGGTCAGAACAGACATCACAGGAGAAGTAGTTCAAGGCCAGGTTGGCGAGTGCACGATTGGTTTTGACTCCTTTCCTCTCTCATCCCCTTCCTCCCTGACCTCCTCACTCCCCTGGGAGGACGTGTTCCCCACATCCTGAATACCATTCTTGCTGTCATCCCCTTCTCCAGTTATCCCGGTCTTCTTAGTAACGAGCATTTAAGCACTTTTCATTTACTACTTCATTTCACTCCCTCTGCTGCCACTCCATTCAAAGGAAATAAAAATATTCCTAACATTTGAAATGTTTATAAACATTGGTAATTCTTTGAGGACAGGGAGAGAATGAGAGTTGCTATATTCTCTGTGTGTGTGTGTGTGTGTGTGTGTGTGTGTGTGTGTGTGTGTGTGTGATAGAATAAAAAGCACTCTCCAGCTATTAGTTTGAGTTGTGTCAGGTCATCTTAGGTGATTGTGTCAGACTTTGCAGAGTAAATCTCTCTAAATTACCAGAGCTAATGCTGAGGGACAGAGTTATGGTAATTCGCAAAGCCATATATCGTACTTTACAGCTTATCTTCATCCTGAGCTAACCAGCTCCTATCCTTTAATCGCCACTAGGTCCTGTATTAAACATATTAAATAAATAAATTAGAAAGTACTCTATGTTTAAAAAAATTATCTAAAGGAATTACCAGTAGTTATTAATAAAATCATCAGTATCATTAGCATCACAAATAATCCTGCCATTTATTGAGGGCTTAGCATATGCCAGGGACTGCACTAAATGCAGTTATATTATTTGAGAAGTAGGCAGTATTAGTCTCTTTTTTTGAAATGGAGAAACTGAAGCTTAGAAAGATTTACAAAGGTTTAATAAGCGAGGTGTATTTCAAATCCAGAATCCACATTTCTAGCCTCTGTGCTATATTGTGGCTTCCTTTCTGTCTATTTACTCTGGTGCAGACGTCTTTCAGTGCTGGGATATGTAGATCCTCCTCATCCTCTCTATCAGCTGTATCGTATTCCTAGATGGGGACATAGCATAATTGAATTAACCACTAACTGTTGATAGACATTACTCATTTTTCATTTTTCACTATTGAAAAATATAGTCACAGTGTGTACTTGAGAGAGTTCCTTGCCACCTCCCAGCCACTCTGCCCACTCTGTCTTATGCCCTCCTTAGCAAGCTCCCAAGCTCATTGTTGCCAGCATATTGCAGGCCCAGCCATTGCCTGTCTCTCTACTGCTCATCCGCAGACCCTGGAAGAAGCATCTGCCCTGATCCCCTGGCCCAGTTCACAGAGCCAGTCCCCACCCCAATTCCACAATCCTGCCACAGACTCCCACTTGGAATGAAAAATAACCACTTATGAGAAAAAAATAAATTTTTTTTTTAAGCCTGCAGAACCACTGCGGTGGTTCTCACCCAAGGGTGATTTTGCACCCCAACCCTCACCCGCAGGAGACATTTCTGGTCATCACAACTGGGGAGATTGGCATCTAGTGGGTAGAAGTCAGGGGTGCTGCTAAACACCCTACGATACATAGGCAGCCTCCAACCCCCTCCCCCCCCGCCGCCCGCAACAGAGAATTATCTGGTCAAAATGTCTGTAGTTCCAAGGTTGAGAAAATGCTCCAGGGACAGGTTCTGCATATAAACACTATCCCAGAGCTCTGGCCTCAATAAGGCCTGGAGCTTTAGAGCCAGAAGGGACCTGAGAATTCATTCTAGGCCATTGCTTCTTCAGGTTATAGGTGGAAAACTGAGACCTAGAGGGGCCTATAATGATAGTAACGGCTGTCATGTCTTCTGTGTGCTAAGTCTTTTGCATTTTTTATCTCATCAGAGTACAGATAAGGGTCCTCATTTTCCAGATGAGGAGACTGAGGCTCAAAGAAGGGAAATAATGCAGCTTGTAGTATAGCCCATGTCTGTCTTCTCTGCTCAGGGCTCACACCCACTTGAGAGCAGAACTGTTAAGTGAGAGATGTCTCCCTCCCTTTGTACAGGATTCACAGTCACATGCACCCAGCCTCAGATGTGGAAATTCTCTCCTGGCTGGGCGTGGGTGGTCTGATGAGCATGGGATCTCCAGGAAATCATTTGCACACAGTTCCACTCATCCCCAAAGAGAGAAAATGGCCAACTCTCAAGATCTGCAGGGGGAAGGCCCAGATTACTCAGTTATAAGAATGGAAGGTGCTTTCTGTCCTCACTCACAAAGAAAAGAACAAAGGCTTTCTAAGCTTTAAATGGGAAGCTCCATGGCTCAGAAGAATGAAGGCGCTTTATAGTCTTCTACTCCGCCCCCCACACCATGGTCCTAAATCCCTCGCAGCAAAATCAGAAGTGATCACCCCAATTCCCACTTGGCCCTTATCTGAGCCTATCACCTCCCTGCATAAAAACCTTCAAATCCCCCCAGTTGCTCTTGGGATAAAGACCAAGACCCTGGACAGGGTCTGAATTAGGCCCTGCATGATCTGGCCCCTCTTTATCCCACCTGGAACCACCTCCCTTCCCATCTCTGCTCCTGATCCCAGATCCCTCCCCCGCTCCTTCACATGCTTTGATCCTCCAAGGCACTTCTCAGACTTCATACAGATCCCAGGTCAAACGTCACTTTCTGAGCAGCCAGAAAAGGTCGAGTCCCCCATTTTACTCTTCCCATCGCTCTCCTCACTGCTGTGATTTGATTCATGTCATTCTCCCCCTCGAGCCTGTGGATTCCCTGGATCTGCGTTGTTCACCGTTTTACCCCACCACACAGCTGGCACACAGGAGGCCCCCTCATTCTTGTGTGCTGGTGGCAGAGAGGAGCATGTAGGGATGGTGGGACATGAAAGGGGCTGGCAAGGGTTGTTTAGGCCTCTCTTTCCTTGGGGCCTAGAGCCAGGCTGGAGAAGGAGAGGGACCGGGCCAGGATGACAGGAGGGAGCCCAGGGGAGGTGGCCCAGGACACACAGAGAGAGCGGCGAGTCTTCCAGCTGCACATGTGTGAGGTAAGGGCTGCACCAGGGGGAGGGTGGGGTGGGATGTGTCTTCCTAGCTGCCTCTCTTGAACCCCCAGGGACCCAGTCACAGGCTCAGCTCAGGTCCTGGCCAGATAGCCCTTGGGATGTCACTGAGGTTCAGTCATCACCAAAAGGATTAGCCTGGGAGGGGGACTGCAGCCCTTTGTCCCCAGGATTCAGCTTCTGCTGACAAAGCACATCTTGCCCTGCCCTCCCCCCAGTATCTGCTCAAAGCCGGGGAGAGCCAGATGAAGCAAGGGCCTGGTTTCCTGCAGAGCCTCATCAAGTTCTTCCACGCCCAGCACAAGTAGGTTTCTCCCCAAATCCCCATCCCTTCCCCCACACTCCTCTCCCCTTAACCCTTTAGGCAACACAGAACAAGGCCGTGCCCAGGGCCTCGAGGACTTTGTATGTCTGTACCTCGTTGGTGATGCTTTTACAGCTCTTCTTCCCTGAGTACTCTCCCTGCATCAGGCACTAAGCCCTTTACTCACTTGATCTTATTCCATCCTCTGACGCCCCTGTGAGCAGGTACTGTTATTATCCCCATTGTACAGATGAGGAACTGAAGCTCAGATTTATTAAGATTACACAGCTGGGATCTGGACCCAGAGAGCCTGTTTATGACCATCAGACTATACTGCCCGGTAATCCTTGGGGCACCTTCTCCCATACTTCTTTCTTCATCTCATTTTCATTTTTCTCTTGTCCCTTGTTTGGCCTTGCATCTCAGCTTTTTCCAAGATGGCTGGAAGGCTGCTCAGAGCCTGTCCCCCTTCATTGAGAAGCTGGCAGCCTCAGTACATGCAGTAAGTCGGGCCTCACCTTTTGGCATGTGGTAAAGCCCTCTGTCCTTCTGGAAGAATCTGTGGGTGTGAAAGAGCCGGCTCCTTCCCAGAGAGTGAGGTTCCTGCCCCACTACTCTGGGTCTGAGCTCTGGCCCTGGCACATCTGCTAGCTGATGATGGGGTCCTGTTCTGTCCCATAGCTGCATCAGGCCCAGGAAGAGGAGCTGCAGAAGCTGACCCAGCTCCGGGACTCCCTCAGAGGGACGCTTCAGCTTGAAAGCAGAGAGGTCAGCCCCTGAATCATCCTAAAAGGGGTGCCTTCCCCCTAGGCCCACCGTGGAGTGGGGAAGAGAAGGAAGACCCACAGGGCCCCCTTAAGAAGTCTCCCTGAGTGAGACCCCTGCAGGGTGAGACTCTTCCCACCCTGAGGTCTCCTTTGCATGTCCGAGGAACAGGAGAATCTGAGCCGGAAGAACTCAGGTGGCGGCTACAGCATCCACCAGCACCAAGGCAACAAGCAGTTTGGGACGGAGAAGGTGGGCTTTCTGTACAAGAAAAGTGATGGGTAAGTGACTCGCGGAATTTAAGTAATTTGCCCAAAGTCACACAGCCAATAAATGACAGGGTTGGGGTTGTTGCCTAAAGGAACTGTTCTTGTCATTTGTGTAGACCCTGAGGGTTTCAGGACCCTCCACTCTGGCAATGCAAAATCATCGCAGTCCTCGGCACATGAACTTCTAAAAGCTACTGGTTGTTCTTAACTTGAAGAATAGCAGCAGCTAACACTTTTTGAGCACTTATTATGCCCTGGACAGTCTCTATGCCCTCACTCTTAATCTCTACAATATATTGACTATGCCTGGAAATGAAAGTGTTGCCTGTGCCTTGCTCCCAGGCATGAAAAAAAAAAAAAAAATCAATCTATGAAGTGCAAAGGCCCTTATGGGATGTGTTCATGTTTCTCCTTTCTAATCAGTTTTTATTAGAGAAGAATAACTGTTAAACCAATTAATATTTACCTCTTACAGAAGTGTTAGGTGGCTTTGCAGCATAGATTTGCTCATTGTATTTGGGCGGGGGTGGGGGTCTCAATATTTATCTTGCTTTGTCTTTAACCGTAATTGATCTGTTGCGATCGGAAGCCAGTTCCACCTCTTAGACTAGGGGCTCCCTCAGTTAGTGAGCTGTGTCTCCTCCATCAGACAAGAAGCTCTCAGGGGGTCAAGGTCACATGATCTCCTTTAGAAGAAGGATTCCCAGAGAGTGGGGCTGTTTCCCCCATCAGACTGGGAGCTTCTTAAGGGTAGAGCTGTGTCACCCACTTCAGAAGGAAGCCCCAGAAATTGAGGGGTGTAGGGGCTGGGGACTTGGTCCAGGACTCTTGTTTTCTGATACAGGGGAGCTAGATGTGAGCTTTCGGTCACTGTCTCTCTATCCCTCTGGGCCCTAGAATTCGAAGAGTCTGGCAGAAAAGGAAGTGTGGAGTCAAGTATGGCTGCCTGACCATCTCACACAGCATGGTGAGGCCTGGAGGGGTAGGGGTCCCAGAACAAGATGGGTTCTCTCTCCTCCTGGTGTTCTGATCAGACAAGCGTCAAGCCCTCCCTCTAAGACTGGCCCCCAAACCTGGATCCAGGTTGCTAGAGACGCCCTGTGAAGGGAACAATAGGACCCAAAGCCCCCAACCTAGTCTGGGCCCACGTTCCACATCTATGAGGTGCTGGGAATGGGGAGACATAAACTGAAACAGGATTATTGTGCCCATTAACAGATTAGGAAGCAGAGGCCTAAGAGTTTGGGAGGTCCAGAGGGTAACATGTATATCCTCCACCCCAACTTCGCACAGATAAACCGGCCCCCAGTGAAGCTGACCCTGCTGACGTGCCAAGTGAGGCCAAACCCCGAGGAGAAAAAATGCTTTGACCTGGTGACCCGTGAGTAGTACCTGCCTCTCCCCAACAACTACCCAGAGCTTCTCTAAGAGACTTGTCAGCTCCCAGGAGGCTGCAATTCAGGCCCTGTGTCCAATTTCATATATATTTATCAAACAGCTGCTACTGTAGGCAGAAAACTCCTTAGGCCCTGGATGGTCCTGTAAAGCATATTTGAATGGATTGAGCTAATTTGGCTTTTGCAGTTGTAGTTTAAAATGTCCACTTTTCATCCTTTAAAGCCTTTGGTGCCAGGCTTTCCTGGGGGCAGGCTCGGGCTGAGAAGGACCTAGGTCTCATCCTAAGGGAGCCCTTGCTGCAGGGGGAGTTTCCAGAAGAGAGGTGCAGATATAGCACCATCAAAGATTACAGAGAGGAAGGCCTGCCCTGCTGTGGGAAATCAGGAAAGGCTGCTTGGAGGAGAGAGCATTTGATGTTAGCCTTGAAGGACACAGGAGGCAGTTTGGGGAGGACATTTCAGAAGACCAGATTGGCATGAGGAAGGGCATGGAAGCAAGAGAATGGGTTTGGCCGTTTCAGCCAGAGTGCGAGTTTCATATAAAAGTAGTGGAAAATGAGGTCTGGGAATGCCTCTTGGAGCTTATTTTCTGGCAGTAGGGAGCCAAGGGAGGGTCTTGGAGCAAGGGAGTTAGAGCAGAACCTGAGGCACAACAATCTGGCAGCTGGTACAGGCTTGGGGAAGGGGGAGAGCTGGGAACAGGGAGACCAGACGGGAGGCTGTGGGGCCAGATGAGGTGGTGACAATAGATTCAGAGAAGACCCTGTCTCTGATCTGAGTAGGCCCTGTGCCCTGGAACTCTGGCTTCATATTGCCTTGCTGGGATCTTAGTAGGTGACTTCTGAGAAACTGCCCCCTCTACTGGCCACTGTCATTACCCGCCCTGGCCCCACAGGAAAGAAAGCTCCTTCTGGACCCAGCAGTTTGGGTGAGGGATCCCCTGGCCCAGGGAAGGCTGGCAGGACTTCTGTGGGCCAGACATCTCCTCCTCTCCCCACAGACAACAGAACATACCACTTCCAGGCGGAAGATGAACATGAGTGTGAAGCGTGAGTGTCCCCCTACAACCAGCCTGGGCGGTGAGAGCAGAGCCCGATGGACAGGACCCCATGGGCGCGGGTATCATCCCCACCACACCCCGTACGCTCCGCAGGTGGGTGTCAGTGCTGCAGAACAGCAAGGACGAAGCCTTGAGCAGCGCCTTCCTCGGGGAGCCCAGCGGCAGCCCAGTGCCGTGGGGGTGCACCGGGCTGGACGGGGAGCCTCAGGATGTCACCAAGCTGCTCATCTCCGAGGTGAAGAGCAGGCCCGGGAACCGCCAGTGCTGCGACTGCGGGGCTGCAGGTCCGGGACTGTGGGGCAGGGTAAGGAGGGAGGTGGAAGTGGAGGGGGGAGGGGCCCGCACCCCAGGCACGAGCGGCTCTCCTCTGCAGACCCCACGTGGCTCAGCACCAACCTGGGCGTGCTCACCTGCATCCAGTGCTCTGGCGTCCACCGCGAGCTGGGCGTGCGCTTCTCGCGCATTCAGTCCCTCACCTTGGACCTGCTGGGCCCCTCCGAGTTATTGGTGAGGATAGGGCGAGGCCAGAGAGGATTTGGGGCGTGGTTTGATCCGGAGGCCGGGCTTGAGTAGACTACCTCAGCCAGAGCTTGTGGGGTCGAGTGGGCAAGGCCGAGGTGGGGCGGGATCCAGACAAGCCAGAAAAGGGGACAGCCGGGGCGGGGCCTCTGGGGACTCAGTTCTCCAGGGGACACTGTCCTAACCACCCATCTTTACTTTCCCTCGACCCCAGCTGGCCTTGAATATCGGAAACGCGCGCTTCAATGAGGTCATGGAGGCCCAGCTGCCCTCACACGGAGGCCCTAAACCCTCAGCTGAGAGTGACATGTAAGGGGATTCTCAGATGGAGGGTGTCCTGGCTGGGGGATTCTGCTTCCCCAGCTCCCAAGGGCTCAGAAGGATCCTGGACCAGAAGTGTGGGGAGAAGGGAGCCTCAGATCTGGAAGAGTCCGGGACAGGTTCTGGGGAAAGGAGATCTGTATCTCCTGTGGGATGCTTCCAGGGGCCTGCTGGGTGGAAATGGTTTTTGCTGCGATCCTGCGGTTGTTTTTGGCAGGAGCGGCCGCAGGGACTATATCGTGGCCAAGTATGTGGAACACAGGTTTGCCCGGCGGTCCACTCTGGAGCCTCAGAGACTCTGGACGGCCATTTGCAACCGAGACCTCCTGTCGGTTCTGGAGGCGTTTGCTAATGGGCAGGACTTCAGACAGCCGCTGTCAGGGCCGGATGGGCAGGTGAGAACCCCTTCCAAGGGCCACTTATAACCTCTGCCCACCTCTGACATCTGCCCACCCATCAGAGGAATAAATGGAAGAGAGCGCAAGTAAGGTCAAGCAGACTTGAGCCAGAATCCTGGCTGTTTTTTCCTAGCCGTGTGATCCAGAGCAGGTTATTTAACTCATTCGTCTCATTTTTTCATCGGTAGAACAGGTTAATGATAGCACCCAGAGCAGTGAAGTGAGAATTAAGTCATGCATGTAAAGGGCTTGGTACATACTATGTCTGCAATGAGTCGTTAGTATATTTATTTTCCTCGACTAGCCGTGGAAATGGGTTAGAGTGGGTCAGGTTAGAACAGGGAAGGCCATTGTATGGTTTTTTCAGTAACAAACACTATGTGAACTTGTAGAGTGGGGGGCAAGGATATCAGGGACATTCGAAAGATTACTTCAACAGGAGTTGCTGACTGGACATCAAAAATTGGATGTCACATCTTTGAGCTGTCTGAGATCTTTGTGGGGCTATCCAGTGGGCAGTGAGAGTGCAGTATGTAGATGAGGTAAGACTTCGGAACAGCCCGCATGAGTGATAGGTTAGCTGAGGTTGTGGGCGGCAGTGAGAGCGGAGCCAGGGCCAAGAACTAAGTTTGAGAAACATCTTCTATTGGGGGCAAGAGGAGCCAGAACCATTGAAGTAAGAAGAAGGAATGGTCTTTCACCCTCCTCCCAAACATGAGGCTCCATCTATTCACATCTCCCAGGGGTTCTGGCATCTTCACATCTGGAGGTTTTAGGGAGCAGTAAGCATTCAAGAGGGTAATATTGGGTTGGGGTCAGGTGAACTGGGGAAAACTCAGGTGTGGATATGTACTCAGGCACCTGGAGAGCTCGCCTTGCACTTGGCCATCAGAGTCGCCAACCAAGCCTCCCTGCCCCTCGTGGATTTCATCATCCAGAATGGGTGAGAACCTCCCTGCCTGTCTGTCCGTGTCCTCTCCTCTTCCTCTTTTCCCCACTGACATTGACCCCCTTACCTGTCTGTTCCCCTCCTTCCTCCCTGACTACTCCCCCCACCCCCGCCCAGCGGTCACCTGGATGCCAAGGCTGCTGATGGGAACAGCGCTGTGCACTACGCTGCTCTCCACAACCAGCCCGACTGCCTCAAGCTGCTGCTGAAAGGGAGAGCTTCAGTTGGCACAGGTGCGGCTCGAACCAGCTCCTCTGTAAACTCCCACTCCTGACTACCCCTCCTGTGAGACTTCCTGCCTTTTTCCCAGACAGAGAGCACTGGTCAAAAAAGCCTTTTTCCCAGACAGAGAGCACTGGTCAAAAGCATGGACTTTGCAGACAGATGTGGGTCCTAATCCTTGCTTGCTTCTTGCTTCTGTCTATTCTGCTCTTGAACCTTAGCTTTTTCATCTGTAAAATGGGAATAGTACTACTGAACTAGTAGTCTGCTAAGAGGGTAAAATAAAATATTGTTTCTGAAAGTACCTAACCAAATAAATATTAGCTGAACCTGAATAATAGTAATTATAATAGCCACCATTTACTGTTTAACGTGTGCCTGGTAATGTGCTAAGTGTTCTACATATAATAACTTATTTAATTTTCACAACAACCTGATCAGGTAGTTATAAGTATAATACACATTTTATAGATGGGAAAATTAAGGCCCAGAGAGGTTAAGGATCTTGCCCAAGATCACACAGCCAGGAAGTAGAAGAGCCAGGATTCAAACCCAGACAACCTGATTCCAGAGGCCCTTCTTAACCTCTAAGATATAAGGCTGCTTTAACCCTGACTGTGTCCCCCGACTTTACCCCTCACAGTGAATGAGGCAGGAGAAACAGCTCTGGACATAGCCAGGAAGAAGCAACACAAGGAGTGTGAGGAACTGGTGAGCAGAACTGGTGAGGTCTAGGGGAGGAGGGGGAGCCCCAGACCCTTCCTCTCCACTGAGCTCTGACCCTCTAAACTGCCAAGACTTTGTTTTTGGCAGCTAGAGCAGGCCCAGGCTGGGGCCCTGGCCTTCCCTCTACATGTGGACTACTCTTGGGGAATTTCCACAGAGCCTGCCTCTGACAGTGAAGAGGATGAGGACGAGAAGGTGGGTCGCAGCCCCTGCCTCTCGGGCTTCTAGACAGCAGGAGGAAAGAGCCAGATTGGACCTGGTGTGGGGAGGGGCAGGGTTGAACTAAAGGAACCAGCTGTCCTCACTCCCACACTTCTGCCCCAGCAGCGCTGCCCTCTGAAGCCCCCAGCCCAGGTCCGCTGGGCCAGTGGGAGGATGGACATCAGCAATAAGACCTACGAGACTGTTACCAGCCTGGAACCAGCTGCTTCTCAGACCCAGAGTGAGGATTGCCCCCCACCCTTGCCGGTCAAAAACCCTTCTCGGACCATGGTCCAAGAGCGTGCAGGACATACCAGGGGAGGTATGGTTGGCTGCCCCCAAAAAATAGTCATCATGCCATTCATTGAAGGCCTACTGTGTGCTAGGGCACTGAGCTCAGAGTACATACATTAGTCCATATTATCTTTACAGTCACCTGTCAGGTAGGGATTATTATCTATCTCCCCCTTAATGGGTACAGGAACAGAGAATTTAAGTAACTTGCCTAAGACCCCACAGCTAATGAGTCCCTGATGTAGGATTCAAACCCAGGTCTGTCTTATTCCAAATCTGTCAATGCTTCACTTAAATAAAAAGAGAGAGAAGCATTTATTGAGCATCCACTATGTCTTGAGGCCTTTGGGGGCTACTGAGACACAGTCAAGTGAGGGAGATAAAAACTGGAATGTAATCCCTTGTACTATAAGGCACAATGTGATATGGAATGTAAATCCCAGAAGGACAGGGACTCTGAGTTTTGTTGACTACTCTTTCTCCAGCACCTAGCACAGTGGCCGTTCTCATGAACATTCATTTGTTGAATGAGTGAACAGGCTTGTTCTGGGAGGGAACATGGCCTGTTGGGACTAGAGGGTGGTTTAGGAAGGCTTCCTGGTAGAGATGGCATTTGAGCTGAGCCTGAAGGATGAGCAGAAGAGTCCAAACTGAGGAGGTGTGAGCAGAAGCAAAACAGTGTATCACTGTGGCCCTGGCTGTCGTGAATGAATGTCGTGGATGAAAGAGGCTGCAGTATGATGGGGAATAGTTGAAAGAAAGGGCTAGAGAGGTAGGTGGGGAGTGGGGAATGGGGAGAGAGCCGTGATAGATCCTAGAGCCCAAAGACAACTTTGAAATTGAGCAGAATGAGTGATATAAACAGCCTTTATCACTTCTGATTCCAGATCGTTCTGAAGTCCCCGGCCTGAGCTCCGAGCCTCCTGAGGTCCCTGAGAACCCGGGCAGTCCAGCCTCCTCCTCCAGCCTCACAAGCCCTGTGGAACTTGCGGGTGCCAACCAGTCCCCTCACAGCTCTGAAGAGGGCCTCTGGGAGCCCCCGGGCACCTCCCGACCCAGCCTGACATCTGGAACCACCCCTGCAGAGCCGTATCTCCCCGTCAGGTTCAGGTTGGTGAGAGCCCAGCTATACAACCTGGGCAAGTCTCCTGACCTCTCTGAGCATCCACGTATTTCCCTTCCTCTAAGTGGTTCCCGCCTGAAGACTCAGTTACCTTCCAGCCCGAAAGCCCATGGACTAACGCCGAAATGCTAGACCTTCAGTGGAGGGCGATTGGACCCCTTTCTCCTTACACACCTGCTCCTGAGTCTGGCCTTGAGAGCTGGGGAGGAGTCTAGGACCCAGAGTGCTGAAGCTGGAGGAGAGGAGGCTTAGTCCTACATGTGCGGCTTGTTCTAGAGTGGGTGGGGTCTTCACTCCATCCCTACCTCTAACCCAGGATCCAGTCCTCTCTTCCTTGCAAACCCTTTCATTTTGGAGTTTGGGGAATAGTCATGGGAGAACCTTCAGTGCTCTCTGGAAGTCAGTTCCAGGCCCCTGGAGCCTGTGATAGACCAGCCTGGGGGCCCTGGAGACTCTATCCACCCGTCCTAAGCCCCCAGCCTTGCTCTACACCTGAGCCCTTTCTCCCCCATGTCCCCAAAGGGGCTCGCTGGGCACAGAAGTCACGTTGGCCTTTCCCTGCCTTCCAGCTCCGAGAGTACTCGCTCCTATCGGCGGGGGGGCCGGAGCCTGGAAGACTGTCCCTCAGCCAGGCAACCTCTACCCAGAAGGAACATGCAGGTAGGTAGTTGCTTAGGACCATGGTTTGAGGGGAGACGGCAGGGTATCTGGGAAGCAGAGTTGGTCAAGAGTAGGCATATTAGGTAGGGAGATGTCTCCTCATGATTGGGGTACATATGGGCCCAGGTGGCCACAGTTTGGCCAGTCCCTGTCCTGGTCCTCCTCATTCCTCACTCTAGCCCAGGATGTGTGAAGCTGGGGAGAGCCCAGGCTTTGAGGGATGGCAGAAGTGATGAGGCCCAAGCTCTGGCTCCTTCCCAGGGGAGGATGAGCAAAGCTGTGCAGCCAGGTTGGTTGTTCAGAGAAGGAATCACTTCTCTGCAATAGAGGCAGGATTGGGGTGGCTGTATGCCAGCCCTCGGTTGTACAAGAGTCTCTGGAATCTGCTGAGACGGCCAGTTCCCGGTCACAGGCCATGTGCATATATTTAGTTGAAGAACCTGGGAGTGAGCATAGGACAGAGCTCACAGCGTCGGGAAGGAAGCCTCCTCTGTTCCTTGTTTCCCTGGGGTTTCCTCAGGGATGGCGGTCGTCTATTGGGATGGCAGGGGCACGAGTTGGGTCTCTCAAAGTCAGGCACCAGACACAAATTTGTGTCTGCAAACAGATATCCATCACCCAGCGTTTAGTTGATGCCTGTTGTCGAAGCATGTTTGATAATGAAAGCCTTGGCCTTGGGCAAATGGCTTCACTTCTTCAAGCCTCAGTTTCATCATCTGAAAAATGGGGATACTTCCATCTACCTCCATATTATGATTAATTTCATCACTGTAGAACAATTTTGAAACCTAGCGAGATAAACAGCTGGTATATAAATGCTTAGAAAATGTCAATTTTCATCCTTCTCTCCCCAGGTTGGCTTCACCGAAGGAGAGGGCTCAAGAACTGGGGTTCTCCCAGCAAATTCTGTACAGCTTTTGCAAGACTAGCTCCTGCTGGCACTTACATGCTTGAACCACCCCCATTCTGGGCCCCAGTGTTCAGAGCTAGGACTTGAGCCCACAAGACTGGGGAGCTGAGGCATTCATTTCCTTGGGTCTTACTCTCTGTCCCTGGAGCCTCTGTGACTGGCCTTCCTCCCTGCCATGGGCCCATGCCCCTGCCAAGGACACAGGGCTGATGGTGGTTCTTTCCCTTCTATCTCATTATTCTCCAGGGACCAGGGAGCCCTATGGCTGGATCTGAGTACTCCTGAGCTAGCTTCAGCTGCAGAACCCTCAAACCCTCATCAGACCAAGACTATGTTTCTTCCATCAGTCTGGGGGCTCCTCAAGAGTAGGACCAGCCTGCCTTCATCATTCTCCACGTCCAGACCAGGGGTACTGCAAGACTAGGGACTGTCTTCTTGGCTATTCATGTGTCTAGTATTCCTTTGCTGAGTTCTGGCTCTATGTACAGAGTTGTGCTAGGCACTGCAGTTGCCACATGAATACGTCAAGGGCCCTGCAGATGTGGACCCTTGCTAGGAAGCTCATCCCCAGGGTTAGATTTGGGCATGGGCAGGGTGGATGGTTCTGAGGTCAAGGGCAGACAGACAATCAGCTGGTTTATACCCATATGACATTGCAGTTGTCTACAGCCCGTATCCATTTATTTGGTCAATACCCATGCTGTACTGGCTGTTAACTAAATATTCCGAGTATCACTTCTTTTGAAGGACAGCACTGCCTTCCTGGGGACCTCTACTATATTTCCCAGCCAGAAAGCAGAGCAAGACTCACCCCTCCTCCATTGCCCACTCTCCTTAGTTAGCAGGAAGGAAAGGAATGGTCGTGATGATAGATCCTCACTTCTCACCTCTTTTTCTTGGTCAACTCAGGAGCCTTCCAGTCTCGGGGGAGGAAAGGGCCAAGAAAGGAGAAAGAGTGATAGAAATGAGAGGGTTCTGCCTCCCAGTACCAGAAGTTCCACCCTGGCTTTCAGCCCTCTATTAGAAAACAGATCCACCTAAGACATCATCGGTCTCTAACACCTCAGCTTTATAGTCGATGAATACTGGGCTCTGGGCCCTGGCAGGGATGGAGCAGGCCAAACAGGGGAGGGTACCAATGGCCAACACAGCAGCCTTGCTCAGAGGCTGAGCTATTTACCCTGGAGACCTGACTGTTCTGTGATCCCACAAAAACAAGGTTGTCTTTTTTGAGCCCCAGTGTCCGGTTTTGTTCATCTCAGAATCATTCTTTCACTCATCTCTAATAAAAGATTTTTTTTTTTTTTTTTGGAAATTCTAGTGGTTTTATATATGTGATCTGAAGAACAACAGAGAGAGGGAGAGAATCTTAGGGCTTGGAATTCTTTCTCTGGACCCTATAATGAGACAGCCTGGTGTAGAGCAGTGGTTTGCAACCAGGGGCAATATTGCCCAAAGGGACATTTGGCAATGCAGAAACTTTCTTATTGTTCCCAACAGGAAGGTGCAACTGGCGACTAGCGGCTTCAAGTTGTCCCACTGAGAGTGAAAAAATCGGTGTCTTTACCACCGACTCTGGTCTCTCGTTGGTTGGGAGGGTGCATCTGGGGGTATCAGGCACTTCCAGCCTGCCCCAAAACCCTCAGTCAGACAGATGCAGGAAGATGTCAGGGGCATGTCTGGGAATTGCCTGCAGGTGACCTCCAGGGAGAACAGGCAGGCAGAGGGGATATGGTAGGTACCCATAGTGTCTGATATGGTTGAGCAGTGCAACCCTGGGCCTCTCTGGGCCTCAGTCTTCCCATTAGTACAATGAAGGGGTTGGACTTGTTTTCTTAGAGTCCTTTGAGCCCTGGTGATATAGGAGTCTTGGCTTCTTTTGTTGTCATACAACTGTGGGACTGGGTGGAGTTTGAGAAAAGTCACATTTTTAAAAAAGGCAATCCTAAGTAACTGCAGGCAACTGTGTCTTCAACCTAGAGGGGCTTGCTTGGGGGTTGGTCATATGACCCAGATCCAAAACTATTAAAGCCTAACCTCCTAAAAGCAGCCTACAAATGCTTTGTGTGGTCAGGCCCCACCCACTTCTGATTTTCGACCTTGTTTCTCCCCACACTCCTCTCATCTCTGTGTAGCAGCCACACTGATTTTTCATCTCCTCCAACCCTGACAAGCCAAGCACCCTCCCATCCCTAAGCTTTACACATTCCGAACTCCAGGAGGACTGTGTTGATTCTCTCTGGATGCCCAGGGCTAGAACTGCCTGGCACATAGTAGGTGCTCAATAAACATGTTGAATGCATGAATGTTTCTTCCTCTCTTCCCTTCCTCCTCTCCCCAACTCCCACTCTGCACTTCTGCCCAAAGTTTAAACTTCATTTCTTCAGAGGAGATGACACTGCCAACTGGCGCAGGTCCTCTCAATGTGTCCTTAAGGTATCCTCTCCTTCCTGACCCTCTCCCCAGCTGTGATAATACAGAACTGATTGTGTCCATATTTGTTAAAAGTTTCTCTTGCCCATAGGCCCAATCACAAGCTTGCTGAAACAGGGTCTGTCTTATTCTTTGCTTGGATGCTCAACACATATTTGTTGAATGCATGAAAAACCTCACTTCTAACTACCTCCGTCCCAGGTCACACAGCAGCAATTAGAAGTCAGATGAGTTCACACCACGCTGTCTCTCTGACCAGGATGGGGTGGCATTCTCTGAGATTCTCTCAGGAAAGTCTGGAGATTTCACTGAATACCCCAATCCATAGCTCCTGGCCTCACTCTGGACCACTTTTCATGCCTCCCCTCCAGGTCCTTAAGCATTCCCTGCTTCCAATGATCATTTTCTGTCAATTAAATGCACTTGTTTAGGAAGGCATCTGTGTCTGCTGGGGCCCCTTGGAAGGTCCTTCCTCTGGAACATAGATGTGTGCACAGCTATGGGGGCACAGTTGTTTTCTCCGCTCCACCCAAATAACCCTTCCAGAGTCCATCCCATTGGGGAGGAAGTGCTCCTGACCCTGAATAGAGGGCGCGCATGCACCTGGATCAGTATTTCTCAAAGTTTGGTGCACTTAAGAATCTTCCAAGCCCTCGCTACCCAGTACAATCCTGAGACGGGCAGCACCAGTAAGTAGCTCCCCCGAGGACCTTATTAGAAATGCAAAATCTCACGGTAAACTAAATAGACGGAAACAGGGTTTGGATACGCGTGCGCACAAGGAGTGCGCACGAACGAGTGAGCACAGGGTAGGGCAAAGGTGTATTTAATGATCGCGCCCAAAAATGTGATCCGAGTGCACCAAGTTGCGTCCGACTTGGGCACAGGCATGAAGCTTGGTCTGCCCGCTTTAAGCTGCAAAGGTGCAGAGACGCGGGAGCCCTGAACTCTTCCCGGAGCTCCCGGGGCACCCGCAGGCGCCTTCCTCGCGGCGGCAGCCTCTCGTGTCCGGGACCACGTCCTCCCGGCTCGCCAGAAAGCCCTGCTAGCCGAATCTCCCTTCAGTCCCCGGCCCCAAGGAGAAAGGCCCTCTCTCGCCGCCTCGTCCCTCTCCGGAGGCCGGACCGGCCGGCGCGGGCAATCTTTGCCCCGGCGAGTCCTTGAAGTCTATATTTAGTGCATGCCACCCCTCCCCCCACGTCGGAGGCAGGCGGGCCAGGGGGGAACCGGGAGGGGGAGCCCCGCCCTCGCCAGGCGTGTGTGTGTGTGGTGTGTGTTTGCGGCCCGCGCGGGTTGCACGCCCTCCGCCTCTGCGCCTCCTGTCCCCGACGATCGGCTACTGTGCCTGCGCCCCTCGCCCTGCCGGGCGTCGCGGGCCAACATGGGCCAGGAAGAGGAGCTGCTAAGAATCGCCAAAAAGCTGGAGAAGATGGTGGCCAGGAAGAACACGGTGAGGCTGCAGAGTTTGGGCCACAGCCTCCGCCCCCGGGAGGCGCGGCGCGGGCGAGCCCTGGTGTCCCGGGGGCGCGTGCTGGCGGAGAGCCCGGGAGGCGCGGGCGGGACCCAGTACCCGAGGGAGGCGCGGCTCGTGCAGGACTCAGCGCCCCTTGGGGACTGCTGGGCACCTCGGAGTGGACTTGTGCATGGCTCAGGACGCCGGGGGAATCGTGCGGGCCCCGAAGTCGAGGCTTGTGCACGTCCCTCTGGACGTGAAGCGTTCGGTGGGCCCCGGAATAGATTGAGCAGGGCCCATGAAAGTGAGTGAAGAGACCGGGACCTGGAAAAAGACTTTTGGAGTCCTCGGATGCACGACGTGTGCACAGCTAGAGGAGTGACGGCGACGGCGGGGTGGGGGGAGGGGATAAGGGGGACAAAATCCTGGTGGCCCCAGAAGGAACAAAGAAACGAGATATGAGCGGTGCCGAGCCGCGTCTACCCCGCACCCGGGAGTGGGTCTGGGAGAGAGGAGCGAAGGTCCGCGGATCCTGCGACCCCACAGCTTCCGGCGCCAGGAGCGGTCGTTTGCAACTTTCCCTTAACTTGGCCGCGGGGTGGGGCCCACGCCGGCGGGGGCCGAACAGGTGCGGGGCAGCCGCAGCCCTCGGGGGCCGCGGGGCGGGGGAAGGGGAACGACGGCTGGAGGCCTGGGCTTTGCAGACGGACCCAGAGGTTGTGGGGAATCGGGGCTGGCGGCCCTACCTGCGGGTCCAGGAGCCCCGAGCGCAGGCCGACTTGAAGTTAATATTTGATCCTTCCCATGATCTTTGCCTCAGGCCGGCGCCACAGGGTTTGCCAGCCAGAGCCAACTTGGCCTTGGGTTAGGGAAGGTCTGGGCACACCGGGGAAGGGAAAAGAGGGGAGGGTAGCCCAGCTGGCATGTCCCCCCATCCCTCCCTGCGCCAGGGCCCTCCTCATCCCACTATCCATAGCCTCTTGCTGGAGCAGGACTTGCATTTCCAGAGCATACGGTGACCCTAGGAGCTTGGGAAAAGGATGAACCCTAAGGGAGGTTTTAGAGCAGGAAAGCAAGAGTGATCGCTGAAGCCATGGAAGCCCTAGAGTAGACAAGAGCGGTATTGAGTTGATGTCGATATAAAGGCCGGAGCCTCAGTTTCTCCATCTGTAAGAAGGATTTGAGATCACCTACCTCCTGGGAGAGAAGGTCACTGGATTTTTGTCTCTGTTGGCGATGGTGAGGGTAGAAGAGATGTGAGACCCTTAAGTAAGACATGGAATGGTGCTGGCTAAGAGAGAATGAAAGCTGCAGAGTGCTGGCAGCTTCTCACCCTTATATCCCAGCCTCCACATGTTCCCATTCCTGCATCCTCCAAAATCAGTGAAGCTCATAGGGCGCACTTTCTCAACTGGGGACAGCAGAGCCCAGCCCTGAGCTAAATTCCACGGCAAGTAGACAGGTGATCCCAGCCCTGCCCCTTACGGACCTAGGTTTGTGCCAGGAGATTCCGAGCCTCTGGGTGAGAGGGTGGGGGATGGGGTGGGGAAGCTTAGGAGGCCTGAGAAAGGCAGCTTGGCTGGGAGTAGAGCTCTGGCTGAGAAGGAGGGGACTGGTCCTGGCCTCCTTTCACTCCTTTTGTAGCCAAAGGCCCGCCTCCACTTCCCCTCTCTGGGCCTCAATTTTCTCTTCTATGAAATGGGAAGAGGAAATGGTGTCCCTTGGGAATGGATTCCTGTGGAAGTATTCAGAGCTCTCTTTAGGAAAACTTCAAGTCTGGCCACAGGGTCCCTGTAGCACAGAGCAAGTTTGCAGCCACGTCTGCGCCTGGGCTCTTGGCAGCCTCTGGGTGGGCACAGAGCTCTGGGCATGTGATCGAGAAAGGTGGGGCCTGCTCTAGGAGTGAAAGTGGGCCCGCCCAGTGGTGGTTAGGGAGAGGACACACTTCCTGTAACAAGACGGATCCTCCACGTTGCAACTCAGGCCTGAGGTTTACTGCCAATTACTGAAGTCCCAGCAACTTAGGGCTTCTGTCAGATGCTGTGAGCTTGTACCCACTGAAACAGCTTCAAACATACAACCACCAAGTCACAGCTACACATGCACATAATTACACACAACAAACATAGCTACACACATGCAGCCACATATGACAATGACTAAACAAACAACTGTGAACATAATTGCATATGAGGTTTAGCTACTGACCTTGACGTGATGGATAGACTGACCATTCTATTAACAGAAAGACACACAAAGACAACTATACACATGGGTACATGTGTGCATGCAGACAATAAGCTACACACTTAGCTTATTGACAAACTTACACATTCAGACATTATAACATAGGCATCATCCCATAAAGACAAACACATTGTGTTTTGAGCTGCACGCCCGCAGCTCCACACCTGGACCAGAGGTACTGCTGGCTACACAACCCGTACGTGCATGCAGAGAGGCACACCTGGCAATACTTGCACAAGGCTTTGTGAGCCCAGCTATAACCAGAGCCAGATGACAAACTTACACATTTAGACATTATAACATAGGCATCATCCCATAAAGACAAACACATTGTGTTTTGAGCTGCACGCCCGCAGCTCCACACCTGGACCAGAGGTACTGCTGGCTACACAACCCGTACGTGCATGCAGAGAGGCACACCTGGCAATACTTGCACAAGGCTTTGTGAGCCCAGCTATAACCAGAGCTCATGGCTGTTCTCCAGCATGACCTAGTTATACAGTGTGACATACAGAGACACACGCCCAGTGGTGAGATTGAACCAATTAGGAATTTTGCAAGCTGGTTGTTAAATACAACCATTATTTTAAAAAACTAAATCATAAGCTTGTAATTAAATTATATTAAAAACAAAGGTAATAAACACTCCAAAATCATCACTTCCTAATTATTTTACTACATTTTACTATCATCTGTGGTCTAGACGTTATTTACTTCTATTATATCAATATGGTGGAAATACTATATAATGGTGTGCTCCGTTGACCAACATAGCATGGCACTTACCCATGTTGATATTTCATGATTGTACAAGTCTAGACAGCTCTATGTCCATAAGTGCACAGTTGTATAATGGTTTGAGCCGGAAAAACCTGAGTTTGAATCCCAGCTCTGTTCCTTGTAACTTTGGGCAAATTATTTAACCTCTTTGTTTTTTTTTGATTCCTCTTCTGTGAAAATGGGATCATCTATAAAAATGGGAATAGTAATAGTATTCACCTCACAGGGTCACTGTAAGAGTTAAACAACATAATGCACATAAAATACTTAGAACGGTGTCCATCACATAGAAAGCCTTTAATTAATGTTACACACAGTTACATGCCCACAAGTTTTCATGCACACACAAACTCGCAGATCACAC